GTTTTTGAAAGAAAACACTCATGTACCTGATGACATGAACAGGTCTGACATCACTAAATCTCAGATAACTTTTGAGGATCCTTGCTTGCTCTATATAGAACAGGCTTTTGTGGAATATGAGCAACAGGAAGCAAATTGTTTTATAGGTACAGAATATGTAGATGCGGAACAGCATCAAGTGGCTTGAAATTTTTTGTATTGCTGTTTGCACTGGATTCCTAGAGGTGGGTGACTTTGTAGGTTTAATAATCAATTTATTAGTTCATTCAGTTTCCTTGGTTTTCAGGGTTGAGTGATTTGCTCTGCAGCTATGATGTAACTAAAGACAAAGACTTCTATACACTGAATAATACTATAAAAGGATCAGCTCATGAACTTTATTTTCATTTTTTAGGATGGCAGATTGATCAGAGATGTATGTTACTGAAGAAAAATGTGATGAAAAATATATTGAAAGGAAAATGCAGACAGTTTATTGCTGGTGAAGGCCCACAGCTTAAATGAACGTATCTGTTCCAGACTGTACTTTTCAGAAAGCTGTCTGTCTTCCCCAGTATCTCCTGGTTCTACTACCTAAAGGTAGTTTGATGGCTGCTCCCTTTCCATATAAGGGAAAGAGAACTAAGTTTCTTCCTTATATCCAGGTAGAGGTAAGATTAGACACAGAGGAAAAAGGTGTGTAAAAAAATCACAACCATCATTATTGAGGATAGTACTAAATATATACTTCTCTTGAAAGAATAAAACTTTATTTTATATCCAGAATCCTAATTCAAAATAATATAAAGCACATCAACCTGTATACAACAACAAAAATGTTTAATTGCGTATATTTGGTTCTGTAACATCTACTTAGCATCCGTCAGACATATTTCTCAAATAAAGAAGCATAGCTCATTAGAAGAAAATAACCTAGAATGTTTCCATGCAGCTAGCTTGACATTAATTTTGTGCACAAGAGAAAAGCGTCACCTTACATTTTGTGTGTGCAATTATGAAGGCAGACACTTCCCTGCAATATTTTGCTTTCACACAGTTGGTCTGTCTTTTCTTTTCCTCGTGTTTGGAAGGCTGCTAATTTTATTAAATGCAGAGCAGACTCAGTTCCCTTTGCAAGTGAGAACAACTCAAAGCTCTCGGTGCTTTACCAGGTGTGTTCAACTTCTGAAGAGTCAGAGTGAAAGCCACTTACTGTGTAGTTACTGATTTCAGCTGAAAGAAGAAGAAAGGGAAAATCAAAATTACACTTGCTATATATAGTTTGCTGTATGCATTTCCACGCTCCTTGGGACTGCTTTTCATTTTGCATTTGTGAGGTGTTTTCAAAAGCTTTTTCCATGTATCATGAAGCTGCTTATCTGTTACTTTGCTGCTAAAGGCTGTCAGCTCAGAACTTGTTTGGGTTTTAAACTGGGGTCTCTTATGAAACCTAGATTTCTTGGGTTTCTTGGGAGCTGTGAAGCCAAGGAATTGGCTGGTTCCACAATAAATGCATTCCTTCAGCTGGGGGTGAAAAGCACTGCAACTGAAGGCAATGCCTGATATTTAACTTTTGAAGTCTCTGGTTGATGGGGCTCTGTTTTTTCTCACCGTTGTCACTCATTGCAATTGTCTTCTAATGTGTTACAGAACAGGAGCAAACGCCTGGAGAAAGTCCATGTTGTTCTTGGGAATAAATCCTGTGATTTGGATTCGCTCATTTCTACTCTGGCCTATGCCTACTTTCTAGACAAGGTAATGGAAAAATGGCCTCAGTCGTCTTAACTCATTTGTTCCAGCTTATCCAGATATTACAGATATCTTATTGTTAAGTCAATTGAATCATACTCCAAAAAACATTGTTCTGAACAACAATTTTGATATAATAAGAGGTAAGGTTTTTAGACCGAAACAATCTGCATTTCTTCTTATACAAAAATTAATGAGTGGGTATAAGCTGTCTTATTCAGTAGCAGTAAAAAAATCACCCTTGGACATCATTCTTCCTCCGTTCTTCTTCCTAGTTTCCCAGAGATGCTGTAGGAGGCAAACAGAAACAGAAGAACCATTAAAAAAGCAAAAGACATTTAAAGAAAAAATAATAAAAGGGGGAAAAAAAAAACCAAATAGAAAATTCTGACTATTTCTAATTGCTCATGCTGTTAAAACATCTTCCTAATAAAAAACAGATCTTATTTTATACCAATCTAACAATGCACACCTGTGTCACAGGTCAGTCCTCCTGATGTTCTTTGCTTACCCGTGCTGAACATACCAAGAAGAGATTTTAGCTACCTCACAGAGACAAGATTTATATTGGAGGAGCTGAATATCCCGGAGTCATTCCATATCTTCCGAGATGAAATCAATTTGCACCAGCTGAATGCTGAAGGGAAATTGTCTTTAACACTTGTAAACAGCAACATGCTGACAAGGTATTGCATTGTATGTACAATAAGATAGCTTATGCGTGTTTGAGCTGTTATAAAAATTATATTTTACATTTTTTCTGCATTAATATTGGTGTTGCTGTATTAACACAGACAAAGAAAAAAGGAAGTTAAAATATATTTTGTCTCCCATTAGGTCCATTAAATGTAACAAACTAAATAGTCATCTTTCTGTCACTTCTAATGGAAATCCCTTTGTTAAGAACCTTGTATTTTCACACTTGTTAGATTAGATATTTTAATTTAGTTTGAAGAGCATGGAAGCTTCCTGTGACCGCTAAATAAGACATCAGATTCTTTTTATGCTGCTTAGTTAGCTTTTGATTTTTAGCAAAGACTCTTACATTTAGCATTAAGACTCTTACATTGATTTGGAGATGGCCAGCACACTTGCGTATGTGCTGTTAAAATGGCTGCTAGCTTATTCAGTCCTTGCAAACTACAGTGTTTATCTCCAAATGTTCTCAGTGCCAGAGGCTCGGAGTTGCTCTGTGGAAGACCATAGTCCATATACCTATCCTTAAGAGGGAACATTTACAAGCCTATAGATAATGGTCTGCCTGTCTTGCCCGGAATCAAGGATGCTGTTTAATTCCAACTCTCTTTAGAATTTAATTTAAGATAAATTTTGTTCTGGCCCCATCCCACTCTGAGGTGTTTGTAGGTTAGAGTAAACATAGGGAAAATCTAAAATGAGACGTATGTGTAAATCTCATAAGCATGGATGCTTTAACTGCAGTCATATCGGTACATCATTCGCTTTTTCAAAGTAAAATTATCAAGAAGATTTGCTTTTGTTTATTACTAACCCTGTGTTTCTTCCTTCTGAAGAATTATGATTAGTATTTTATATTATTAAATATAATTCCACTTTGTTATTGCTATTAGAAGCAGAAACTTAAAATGTCTAAAAGCAAAAAAAAAAAAAAAAGAACTTTTGTAAGTTTTCAAAATATGCAATGGGGAAAATCCAAAATCTCCCCTAAATAAAGAGTGATCTTTTCAGTACATGTAGAAATATTTTTCTCAAATTATTAATTATAAAGATTTTGATAATGGAAATTTAAATATTTAAGTACTAAGTGATGTATCAAGCAATAAAACCACTGTGAAACACTTCATTAAAAAAATTAGTTTTCAGATTCATTGTGACTTTCTTCGGCTTTACAGCAAACTTCAAATGGCAATAACAGTAGTGTTGTAGTCTAGAATTTTAAAAAGTATTTTGCACTGTTTTACTGGGTTGTCTAAACAGCTAGAAAGAAAAATATATATTATTCTTGAATTTGCTTGATAGTGAGGATAAAAGTTTGGAATCAGCCGTTGTCAAAGTCATCAATCCAGATGAGCAATGTGACGGCAGCCTGGAGTTACAAGCGTCTACTTCCTCTTTAGTAGTAAAAGAGATTCTTCAAGAGGCACCAGAGTTAATCACTCAGCAACTGGCTTATCTCCTCAGAGGTGAGAGATTACTCTTTATATTAAATACTGAAAGGTTTAATGGAGTGTTTCTGAATCTGCTCATGCAGAAAGAGTGTGATCCATTCTTTGGTTAACAATCCCTTTAAAGACCACGGGAAGCTTCATAAAAGAAGCAGGGAGTAAAGAGTTTGTTAAAGAGTAACATTATATTGAATATTAAAAATGTGCATTTAAAAATAGGCATGAGAGGTCTTTGCTGTATCACTAGAGGAGGCTATTAAATGGAGCTGTCGACACACCAGCTGGGTAGCTGGGAAAGCTGTGCAGTGCATCGATGCGAGGGGCTGTGCAGTGCTGCCAGCCTGGCTCTGCCTGCCTGTGGACAACAGTATGGATTGGAACCTAATATTTACATCTCCTGATGGTGGTACCTTTTCAAAGAATGGTGTTTTAATGGCAAAACTTTCCGTGTTTAACAACGCTGTAACGAAGTCTTCGTTGCACTCTCCTTTTCCTTTTGTGTCGTATGCCCAGCGGAGTACAAAGCATGGGGCTTTGTCGTGGTCTGACCCCAGCTGACAACCAGCTCGCTCACTCTGCCCCTGGTAGGATGTGGGAGAGAATGAGAAGAGTAAAACTGAGAAAACTCATGGGTTGAGATAAAGATATTTTATAGGTGAAGCAAAAGCTGTGCACACAAGCAAACCAAAACAAGGGATTCATCCACTGCTTCCCGTGGGCAGGCAGGTGTTCAGCCATCTCTGTAAAATATGCAATGGGGAAAATCCAAAATCTCCCCTAAATAAAGAGTGATCTTTTCAGTACATGTAGAAATATTTTTCTCAAATTATTAATTATAAAGATTTTGATAATGGAAATTTAAATATTTAAGTACTAAGTGATGTATCAAGCAATAAAACCACTGTGAAACACTTCATTAAAAAAATTAGTTTTCAGATTCATTGTGACTTTCTTCGGCTTTACAGCAAACTTCAAATGGCAATAACAGTAGTGTTGTAGTCTAGAATTTTAAAAAGTATTTTGCACTGTTTTACTGGGTTGTCTAAACAGCTAGAAAGAAAAATATATATTATTCTTGAATTTGCTTGATAGTGAGGATAAAAGTTTGGAATCAGCCGTTGTCAAAGTCATCAATCCAGATGAGCAATGTGACGGCAGCCTGGAGTTACAAGCGTCTACTTCCTCTTTAGTAGTAAAAGAGATTCTTCAAGAGGCACCAGAGTTAATCACTCAGCAACTGGCTTATCTCCTCAGAGGTGAGAGATTACTCTTTATATTAAATACTGAAAGGTTTAATGGAGTGTTTCTGAATCTGCTCATGCAGAAAGAGTGTGATCCATTCTTTGGTTAACAATCCCTTTAAAGACCACGGGAAGCTTCATAAAAGAAGCAGGGAGTAAAGAGTTTGTTAAAGAGTAACATTATATTGAATATTAAAAATGTGCATTTAAAAATAGGCATGAGAGGTCTTTGCTGTATCACTAGAGGAGGCTATTAAATGGAGCTGTCGACACACCAGCTGGGTAGCTGGGAAAGCTGTGCAGTGCATCGATGCGAGGGGCTGTGCAGTGCTGCCAGCCTGGCTCTGCCTGCCTGTGGACAACAGTATGGATTGGAACCTAATATTTACATCTCCTGATGGTGGTACCTTTTCAAAGAATGGTGTTTTAATGGCAAAACTTTCCGTGTTTAACAACGCTGTAACGAAGTCTTCGTTGCACTCTCCTTTTCCTTTTGTGTCGTATGCCCAGCGGAGTACAAAGCATGGGGCTTTGTCGTGGTCTGACCCCAGCTGACAACCAGCTCGCTCACTCTGCCCCTGGTAGGATGTGGGAGAGAATGAGAAGAGTAGAACTGAGAAAACTCATGGGTTGAGATAAAGATATTTTATAGGTGAAGCAAAAGCTGTGCACACAAGCAAACCAAAACAAGGGATTCATCCACTGCTTCCCGTGGGCAGGCAGGTGTTCAGCCATCTCTGTGAAAGCAGGGCTCCATCACATGTAGTGGTTACTAGAGAAGACAAATGCTGTAACTCTGAAGGTCCCTTCTTTCCTTCTTCTTCCCCCACCTGTACACACTGAGCATGGTGTCAATGGCGTGGAATATCTCTTTGGTCAGTTGGGGCCATCTCTCTTCCTAGCTTTTTATGAACCTGGAGCCTACTAGCTGCCTGGGCAATGTGAGGAGCCGAAGTGGCCTTGACTGCTTACCAACAACCAAAATCACTAGTGCATTATCAACATCATTCTCACCCCAAGTCCAAAATACAGCACTGCACCAGCTGCCAGCAAGAAAGTCAGCTCTGTCCCAGACGAAACCATGACAGGCTTCAACAGTCAGAATTACTTTTATTTCTGTCTTCATTGTTTGTATTATTCTCCTCATTTTATTTGTTGCAGCAGAACCCTTCAGTTGGAACTGTTAAATTCCCTTTTAAGAAATCAATGTGGGCGTGTTTAATGAGGATTATGAAAACTTGCCTATGTTTAGATTTCAGAACCTACAGGAGTCATTGCATGTCATTGTACTCGTCACTGTGGTAGCTAATGTAATGGGCATGTTACAAGAAATTACAAGAGGTAATTTTAATTTTTTTCTATGTTTCCATAGAAGAAGCATTATCAGTGACACAGCATTTAGCATTCTCTTTTGGTATCTTTCCATGCTAATAAGCTTTAGTAAACCTGCCATGAAATATTTTTGTAAGCTCCAAATTTCTGTTGAGTAGCTATCCAGGCATCTAGGCAATTGACCATGCATAATAATTGCTTCTGGAGGCAGAATCAAAAAAAGGTTTTGTGGGATCTCTCAGGATACCTATGTGGTGATGGAAAGAGTCGGGAGGCAGTGCTCTGAATAGTGAACGAGCACATGTTCAAGTACTATACATGGTTGTAAGTGCCTGCATGGTTTATATCTCTAGTCTGTATCCAAATTAAAATAAAGTGCTTTTATTAGAGAAATACTGAAATTGTTTACAATAGAGATAGCCAGTTTTGAGGGTCGTAGTGGCTGATTTTTTTAAAAAAGTTAATAAATTCATTTTAATTATTGTGTGTGGTAGCACGTTCGAGGAACTTAGTGGATACAGGAGTCCCTTCATACCTTCTCTTGCAAGGTATGAGAAGTGATTGACAAAACCTAAACAACAAATCACAGCTACATTTGTGACTTGATGCTTTTCTCTTCTCCCGGCAACACAGTTTGTACATATACAAAGCTAAGCAATACAGTGACTCCTCTTGTGGGTCTCTTAAAATAGAAAAGCATTTTGGTACTTAAGAACCTTCCATTGCAAATTCAGAAAAGTCAGCGAATCCTATTAATGGTTTTGATAAGATTTTAAAAAGGATATAATCCTAGATACAAATGTATGTAGATGGCAGATCAAAACACAGGCAGTCTGAAAATAAAAGATCGCATACAACCTTCCCAAGTTTTGTGTTTCTCTGTATATTTTATGTCCTTTTGTCATTGCCCATAAAGTATAGCTTTTGAAATTCATCTCACCGGTGAGCATAGGAAACAAAGGGATCGCATATCATGGTCTGGAGGAAGGGGTGGCTGCTTCATTCTCCCTAGCAGTGAATGGATGTGTAGAAGCCGGCAGGATGGCCCCTCTCTCTGGTGGCACTCCATGGGCATAGAGCCAATAAAAAGATCCCGCTGGGCTTTCCCTGCTGTTGTGTTACTTCCAGTGTAAATTTGTGTATTGTTAGTATGTATAAATTTCAGAGGAAATTCACAACAGAAGGCCAGATTGGAAGTCAAAGTGCTAAGAATTAGGATTTTATTTTCATAAAAGAGCTGGGGGATCCCAACATCCAAGTCTGAGCTGGAAACTCGTCTTTCATTTTCTGCCCTCCCAGTGAGTATTTTGCCAGAAGACTTGTAAAATATCTCATGTTTTAAAAATTAATCACATAGTGGCTGTGACACCTTCATTTGTTGTCTCTTTTTCAAACTTCTTTTTTCTCACAGTCCGTTAGCAATTTTTAAAAATTTTAATAATAAAGGCAGATTTTTATAGCCTGCCATAATCCAGCTTTGAGCAACCTTCACCTGCTCTTTGGTGTTTAAAAAAACCAGAAAGTTAAGAGAAAAGACTTTTCCTGTGAAACTGAGCATTATTGATTTAGGCAGTTTAATATTTAAGGATTTTTTTCAGCTGAATGCTTTCCTGGTATCTTTGTCTCCTCGTCAGACATGCTATAAGCTAATTCTACCCTTGGGCTTTGAATAGAGACTGCTTGGAGAATCGGAGTGTTGTACAGCCATATTTGCCTTAAGTTAGAGCTTGTGCTGTCTCTGGATTTGTGCCAGAAGCAAACAATTATAGAACCTGCCAGAGTCTTGGGCCTGTATTATTTTATTTCCCTAGAGATGTTTACAAGGGGACTGTTGCCAAACTCAAGATCCATTAAACTGCTGAATCATTACATTTTCCGTTGCAGCCAGCTGGCAAGGATGCGATTCCAAGCGCTCACTGTCAGGTACCTTGGGTCAGTGCACTCTCAAAAATGCCTCCTTATGTTTATTTGTATAAGGCCTTGAAGGATGCCACAAGGTGCAGACTGCAACATGTAAATAGAGACAGATTTACAGCAAGAGCATCAGCATTTTTTTTTTTAATGTGTGAGCCTGCTTTTGCTAGTTATGAGCTGCATAGTTGAGGCCTTTTTGTGCTCTGCTGGGGCAGTCTGACTTTCAGTAGAAAAGATTAGTTTGTTATTCTAGCCACCCAAACGAATGTTAAGAAATACCCTTTTAAGGGCTTTGGGAATTATGCCAATTTTTTTTTTCTGTTTATTTTTGGTCTGTCCTGTACATCTATCAGATGATTCACGTGTTCTCTAGTTGGTGCGTCCTTAGTATATATGCCAGAAAGAAAGCAGTGTTTTGAACTGCACCAAATGCTGCACTTGTTGGGACTGATACTTTTGGTTTTATGCATGGAAACAGTTTTCCTGGAGGCAATGCTTCTCCCCCCGCCCAAAATTACACTTTATTCCAGCTTTGTGGCTGTCCTGGTAATTACAATGAAGACTGCTTGCTTGGGTCTGTTTTACACTTTTGGTTTGTGGAGTTTTTTTGGAGGATGGGGAGTGATGAAGTATATTTTCCATGAGGGACTGTTGGTTTTCCCCTTTTCCCTGTCCTTTATTTTTCCAGTTCATGGAACAAAACCTCGACAGGAGAAATGCCTATATTTTCATTGTACTGTTTCTCTCAGCCATAAACTTATAATTCAGGAGATGCTTGTGCTGTTCTTAATGTTTTCCCAAAACGACTTCTGCCTTCATTAGATCATGTTTAATATTAATGCACAGCAATTGCTTTTGGCAAAACTAGTGCTCTACTTCCAAAACGCTTTGCAAAAAGAATAAAATGCACATTTTTTTAAGAGTCATATCCTATTTTCTAGTGACCTCTCCTTTGGAAAAAAAAATCTGTAATGTAGTGTGATGTAGACAAGAAATAATATTGAATCTTGTATTACCAATTATATATTTCTTTTTTTTTTTTTTCTGTGCTTGTCAGCAGACAGAGCAGCCTCCATTATGCTTTCAGAAACCCTGGGGGAGTTGCACCAGCACTCAGTAAAATCTGCAGGAGATTTCTGAGTCCATGTATCTCTTTTACAGCAGGTACTTACAAAGGAGCACATGACTAAATGGACTACTGACCTTTGGCCAAGCAGAAGTACCTTGAGTGAACTGTTTTTCTAAACTACCCGGAATCTTAACCTTCACAGGGATGCCAGGGATGCCTGGGAGAGAAGACGTGTGTTGCCTTTCCTTCTTGCTGATAAGCACAGCATTAAAGAATGAAGGAACAACAAATGTTGATCTTGGGACTTGCTGACACCGTATTCATTTAAGAAGCATACTTTTCTTGTAGTGATTGCAAACGCTACAGTGTTGCTGTGACAAGTGGGGGAAAATAGCCTTTTAAAAACCTTTCTAAGATGTCTGCCGGTGATTATTTCAGGCTGACTGCATTCCATTCTTGCATTCAGTGATAAATCCCAAAATTTCTAAGTTTGCTTTGGTCTTTGAAGGTGTCATCCCTGATCAAGATACGCAAAGGGATTGACCCCGAGATGAACTGAGCAGTGAAAGGCAAAGGCTTCCAGTTAGATGCTGGAGCACAGTGCGTGCCTAAACACAGCCTGATTTTACAACATTAGAGTAAGATCTGTGTCCTGCCAAAGGTGAGACCAAATCCAAGATGGCCTTACTATTGAAGAAAC